TAGCATATCTTAAAGCTATATTTTTATCATACATATGCCTCGAGAATGTAGCGGAATTAAATTACCACAAATGGCTACAACTGAAAGAAAAAAAGAGAAAGAAAAAGAAAAGAAAAAGCTAAGGAGTATGTGTAAAGTGGGAGAAAAACAAAAGAAAAAAAATGACATATGATCACGACACCGTACACCTACGCACATCCGCGCAGACCGGCGTATGCGAACAATAAAGGAAAAATCTTACACAAATGATAAGTGTATAAAAAAGAAAAATCGGGAAATATAAGCAGTCAATTGCTAATACTCCCTGAAGAGTGGACACACAGATTCATCTACGAAAGTCTGAGTCGGGATGCTGAAGTTAACATCAATCATCTATGTGAGAAATGTATTTATATATATATATATATATATATATATATATATATATATATATATATATATATATATATATATATATATATATATATATATATATATATATATATAAAAAATTGTGTTCATTTGTAATCCTTATTCTATACAAGTTCCATTTAAAACGATTAAATATTTTATTAATTTTTTCTTGCATTTGTACAGGTGATTTTTGTCTGTGTAAAACTATCCAAATGATCTAGGACCCTGAACGCTTTCGGATAATGTATTAGCCATGATCAAGTAAGATTTTGTTTAACTGATATATATATATATATATATATATATATATATATATATATATATATATATATATATATATAAAATCTATTTTAGAATTACCATATATATATATATATATATATATATGGTAATTCTAATGTATATATATGGTAATTATAATATATATATATATATATATATATATATATATATATATATATATATATATGGTAATTCTAAAGAATTAATAGATTTTATTTCATCACCACCATTAACTGTGCCTCTTCATTGCCGATGAACAAAGCTCTTCCTTTTATGGGCTGACTCTTGGGCAGCATCGCCTGAATCTTGTCTTTTCGTGCACTTCACTATCGCCACTGCTATTGAAACGCATTACTCTTTGTTTAACTTTTCTCGCATCCATTCTTTGGTCTCCTTAAATGTTCAGTAAACGGCGATTAGTGTTAATGAGTAAAACATTTTCCGCGTGGAGGTATTCAATAACGCGCTTCTGCTTTGTACGCACAATCAGATCAGACTTCCGCTCAGCTGTTATTTGTAACAAGGCATGGAAAATGATGGATAACGAAATGGTTCAACATCTAATACCAAGCTACCAACACTCGCCTATGATGTCATGGTCCACAATCACCATTGAAAAGGCATTACTTTCGAAGCAATTCTCAGATGTATAATTTTTAAAAAGTATATTTTATTCATATACTAGTTTAAATTAGTATATCTGTTTTTTTTAGATTAGGTATATTTAAGCAGTACGTATTCATCTAAATGGCTTTAATAAATACAATCAGTAAGGTTTACCTGTTAATAATTTATTGTATTCTTCCAGTTTTCGAATATTGTCATATACCGTACCTATGAACACTAATGGGTATGTCCCAATTCTCATAAATACTTTGGACACTATTATAAGTGGGGGTAATATGCGGTTTATGTAGTCCACCACTAGCAGTGGTTTACCTACTTCACGCCGCTGGCGAGTATTGTATTTTGTTGATGTTATAAAGATTACCATTTCATTTCCAACCTCCGTTTTGGTTATTCTTCGTTCAGTAACCATTTCTCGGTTACAACAAATATCATGTTTTATATTGGGATCGAAATTGTAAATAAGCTATCCAAAGTTCACGTTTGATTTGTTGTTTTGTTCAAACACTTTCGGCTACATCAGTCATTTTCAAGAACCATGTTGTGTCTGCCTATAAACAAGATTCCGTTGGCTACTCTATAGATATCTGAAAGATTAAAGTATCCCACGGTGATCACATTTGTAACGGTTAAGGGAAGCGAGACAGAAAGAAAGAAAGAAAGAAAGAAAGAAAGAAAGAAAGAAAGAAAGAAAGAAAGAAAGAAAATGACTAAGTAACTGGGCAGACAATGAAAAAATAGACAGAAAGAAAGAAAGAAAGAAAGAACCATGTTGTGTCTGCGCAATAAAAAAGATTCTGTTGGCTACTCTAGAGAAATCTGAAAGATTAAAGTATCCCACGGTGATCACATTTGTAACGGTTGAGCGAGACCGCACCGCATATTCTTAGATATATTTTGTTAAACCATATATATATATATATATATATATATATATATATATATATATATATATATATATATATATATAAATTCTTTTTACACATTTAGCACTGGTGTAAATTTACTTTGTATTCTCTCTGTTTATGTCTGCGCTTGTCTGCACGCACACGTGCGCCCATCTGAACGGATGTGAGTCGTGATCATTTTGCCCTATGTATACGTATGTGTGTGTGTGTGTGTGTGTGTGTGTGTGTGTGTGTGTGTGTGTGTGTGTGTGTGTGTGTGTGTAGAAGTAGAGATGTATGTGTTGCTTCGTAATAAGGAAGCATAGTTGGAAAATAATTCTTAATGTTAGTATTGACTAAAGCTAAAGAAACAACAGAGAGGCAACAAAATAGCACATTTGGAAAAAGCTTTTAGGTAAAAAAAAAAAAAAAGACAATATTTTTCCACGTACTCATCACTATTGGATATTCATTTTCGCCAGCAATGAGCATTTAGCACGTTGACAGGTGTGCAGGGCTGCTCGGAATGGGACTTGTTATAAACATAGCTGTCGCCATTACTAAAAGGCATTAATCACCGCTTAACTGTGATCACACGCATCGTTTGGTTTCCGCAAGTCTCAATAAATGTGAATGGGTGCAAAATTTTCATGTGTGGAAATTCAATTCTTGTACGAACTTTCATCATGCAACAAGACGGAAAATTTGGGTTAATGTCGGAATGCTACAACATCTATTCTAATAACATACACTGCTAACGTCATCTTTTTTAATACAAGAATTCGCCTAATACAAGCCTCAAGAATCACTCAAGGTAGAGGGTTGATGTTAAAATGGTAAGAATGAATATGATGTGTGTGTGTGTGTGTGTGTGTGTGTGTGTGTGTGTACATTGCTCAAATTTCCAGCATTTATGGGGAAAGAGTATTCAATAGTGGAGACAGTTTGTCGATATAAAAAGTGAATTTATAGGAATCAACATGAAGTGGGGACCGTTAGCCTTAAGTGATTATGATTCCTATAGCCAAAATGTCTGCCTGTTTCTTCCTTTCACACCTTTCTCCTCTTTCTCTCTCACTATATATATATATATATATATATATATATATATATAAGGCTCAAACACTAATATTCCATGGTTATAATTTATTACATTGGAATCGTAATCACGATCCAATTCATCAGACCTACAAATTCAAAATAGTGCTATATATATCTATATATATATATGTGTGTGTGTGTGTGTATCACTCAATATATCACTATATATATATATATATATATATATATATATATGTCGGATCATCTAAACCTGATGAGTGGTATTACGCAAAACACTGGTGTCGTTCAAATGAGATTTCAATTAAAGATTTATTGCTTTATTGACTAGATAGATAGATAGATAGATAGATAGATAGATAGATAGATCGCAGGAACTTTATTGACTAGATAGATAGATAGATAGATAGATAGATAGATAGATAGATAGATAGATCGCAGGAACAACACGTCATGGTAATTCTCATTTCAGATCACCTTACCACAAAATAATGTATTTTATTAATGATCATAACATAACATGATGTGTGAAACTGCCAATCACCATGCAATGTTGATTCTTATATCCATACTGTATCTCTTTCTCTTTCCCTCTGTATATATATATATATATATATATATATATATATATATATATATATATATATATATATATATATAATTGTTATAATTGTTGCCTATGCGTGAATGACAGTTATATAGCCTTGTTGTTATATAATATGTTTAGGTTTGTGTTAGTTATGATAATACACATTTGCATATCGCTCTGAGACTTTTTAGAAGTCAAGTGATATTAAACTTCGTTTTTACATTTCGAAAAGAATACTCGTATTAAAATTTTGGATTATATAACAAAAAAAAATGATGGCTGTCGTGTTTATTAGTGTCCACATGATGTGGCAGCGTCAAGAGGAACCGTAATGAATTTAAATGTAACGCTAATAGATTTAGAAACATTTTCTTGCCAGGAAAAAAAGAAAAAAAAAAACACAGCCATCTCTATTGAATTGTAAACACGACAAAAGTCAAAATTAAAATGCGTGTTATTTTCAGATCTTTTTTTGTGACAACTCACGAAATGTCTGTTTGTAAAAAGCATGAGGCGTAAAGTACTTAGTCAAGCCTTAAATCTATTGAAAAAAAATACTCTTTCTTTTCTACGGGACTACTTGCCCAATGAGCTAGGACACACATTTTTATGCATTCGCCTAAAAGAGGTCTATTAAGTTGAAGCCTAGAAAGCGGGTACCGTTTAGTATAGTTGTGGTAGTAGTAGTAGTAGCAGTATCAGAAGTAGATACTGTTATATTCTGACAGAATGAAGAGGTCAAAAAAACAGAATAGCAGTATAAGTTAAGAAATACTTAAATCAGTCATCATAAATGTATTAGTAGACAAATTTAACCAATATTAACAAAACAAACGCCAATCGAGTAGCCGGAGTTCGGGGTGTAAACTAGAAACACCTTACATCTGGGTCCGCGTTCGATCAAAAATGTGAGAGTAGGTGGCTGAACAATCAATAAAATCTTTTTTATGCTACTAGTTGGTTTTGCAACTAGAGATTGTAAAAGGCTCGCAGAGCTCGTCACTTGCTTATTGGTTGGTCGAGTTTCTAGTTTTAAGAATTATTTTTATATACTCGGTGCCAATCCCAAATGTAGGCTGACTAAGTCTGGCATAAGGAGCCGTCAGCTATGTTTGAACCCTGTGATGACCTCGAATGTGAAACTACAAAACTTCAATGTGAGTTCATTCATCAAGATAGATAGATAGATAGATAGATAGATAGATAGATAGATAGATAGATAGATATGAAAAGATTGAGATAGATAGATAGATAGATAGATAGATAGATAGATAGATAGATAGATAGATAGATAGATAGATAGATATGAAAACATTGGGATAGATAGATAGATAGATAGATAGATAGATAGATAGATAGATATGAAAATATTGGCATAGATAGATAGATAGATAGATAGATAGATAGATAGATAGATAGATAGATAGATATGAAAACATTGGGATAGATAGATAGATAGATAGATAGATAGATAGATAGATAGATAGATAGATAGAATGATATGAAAATATTGGCATAGATAGATAGATGGATAGATAGATAGATAGATAGATAGATAGATAGATAGATGAATATGAAAACATTGGGATAGATAGATAGATAGATAGATAGATAGATAGATAGATGATAGATAGATTAATTGACTGAAAGAAAGAAAGAACAAAATAAAGAATGAATTGATTTTGGGAATTTTGTTATCATGGACTTCGCAGTTTTGCCGAACACGTCGCAAAAAATCGAGTTTTTATACGAATTTTCCCGCCTTTTTTTACATGTTTTAATTCTTCCTATCAAACCTGGAATTCTCGCAACATTTTTTTTTAAATCTAAGATTAAGAATAATAACTTGTTTAAACGTTGAAGAAAATGTATTTTATTTGTTTACTTTTATTGATACATAAATAAATGTTATTATTCAAATTAAGACACTTAGTGTTTTGCGTTAAAAAAAAAGAAAACCAGGACATTGTCTTTGTATTCATTGTATTGTCTTAGTAAATATATCTGTTACAAGAATGAAAATATTTGAAATAATTATATTATTAATTGAAATTTCAACTATAAACAACGCGTAGAAAATAAATAAAAAAAAAACAGTAGTAGTAGCAATAAGAATATATAACAGCACATGGCAACGGGTATTTAAAAAAAAGAGTCTGATCACCAAAACTAAAAGTAGGGTTTTACTACACAGTCTTATTTGAAAAATTTTAAAAGAGACAAATTATTTTTTTGTTTTTTATTATTTTTTTTTAATATAATTTCTATTAATGAGCATCACCGACTCGTCACAATCGACGGAATAACCCTCTTGGTTTGTTTTCACTTTTCAGTCTCATATCTTACCACGAGCATTTGAAGCTTCGTGTCGTCATCGTCGACGTTACTCGTTTTTATAGTTAAAAATATTTCTAAAATTGACCATATAAAGAAAATAATTAAACAAAAGGCGTAAAACAGTGTGTTTTATCCTGGTTTGCTTAAGCTAAAACTTTGTAACAAGCCTAACCAACCCGGCACTTAAAACAGAACCTCACATTTACCGGCTTTCAGCCCTTTTCCCTACCACTTGAGCTCTGCCTGCGAGTGTTAGAAGAGCAGGAGTAGTAAAAGTAGTTAAAGCAGAAAGAGTTGGAGGATTAGAAAAAAAAATTGTTGTAGTAGTAGTAGTATTAGTAGTAGTAGTAGTAGTAGTACGTTAAATCGAGGCAAGTGGTGTGGAGTGGTAGGTGTAGTTATAAACAATATGGGAGGAGTAAGCAGTAGAGAAGACAAAAGCAAAGTATTAATAGAGGGAAAGAGAAAAAAAACAGGAGAGTTAAACTGTCATGGTAGTCGGAGTAAAGTAACAGAAAGAGTAAGAATTGTGATGAGGTGGGAGGAAGCGGGACAAGGCCACGTCGAACGCCAATAAGGAGAGATTAGAGAGAAATGAAAGAGAAAGGCTAGCATTTATAAAGAGGGATAAAGAGAAAGCTAAAAGATTAAAGAGAAAAGGTAATAAAGAGAGTTGAACGGATAGAAGTAGAACGTGTAAGGTGTAGAAAGAGGGTAGAATGAATAGGAGGGAAGGAGAAAAGAAGCCAAAATGGTGAGATTAAGGGGGAAAGAAAAGAGTGATGAAAATCGTATCTAAAGACTTGGAGGGGGAAATTGAGAAATAGTGATTTAGAGAGAGAAAGAGAGAAAAGGAAAAGAATATATAAAGACAAAGGGAGTAAAATAAGAAATTTTAAGAGAATAGAAGGAGTGGGGATTTTAACGGCGGAAGAAGGTTGAGAGGGCAAGGACGCAGGAAAAATGGTGAGGACGTTATAAGAAAAAAATAGAGAGAGTGGAAAAGAAGGAATTGGTAAAAAAAAAAAAAAAACTAAAGGAAAAGATAACAAGAATGCAAAAATAGAGAAAAAAATTAAAAAGAAATAGAATAAAATACGCAAAAAAAAACAAAAAAAAAAACCCGAAAATACAGACGAGAAGATTGAAAGTGAGAAATAATGAGAATAGAGAGAGGGGGTATGAAAAGGAAAATATAAGTCGAAAAAGAGATAGAAAGATAGAAATTTAAAAAAAAAAATAAGTATTAGAAGAGAGAATAAAAGAATAAAAATTCAGGATGGGGGGAAAAGTGAAGGAATCGTAAGAGACAGAGAGAAACTGAGAGACAGAGGGAGATAAAACTGTAAAACAAGAACGGAGAAGAAAGACTATAGAAACAAAGAGAGTGGTTAAGATAAAACGGAAAGAGTGAGAAGAGAATAAGGAGACTGAGAAAATAAAAAGAGTGGGTAATAAAAGACAAAAAGGAAAGAAAATACGAAGAGAATATAGAGAGTGGTTAACAAAGATGAACGTGTAAGAGAATAGGGTAAAAGAACAGAGAGAGTGGTTACCAGAAAAGCTGAAGAAAGAGTCAGAAAACAGATACAATAAGAAAATGGACAGAGTGGTTAATAGTAAATACTGAAGAAAAAATAGATACAATAAGAGAATAGAGAGAATGGTTCGGAAAAGCTGAAGAGTCAGAAAATGGACACATTAAGAGAATAGAGAGAGTGGTTACAACAGAAAAGCTGAAGTGTCAGAAAATAGATATTATAAAAGAATAGAAAGAGTGGTTAACAGAAAGATAGAGGAAAGAGAGCGAGAGGATAAGAGGAAAACAGAAAGAGTGAGAAAATAGAGAGAGTAAGAGAATAAAAAGACTGGTTTAAACAGAAAGCGCACTGATGTAAAAGTGAGGTAGAAAGGGTAACAGAATAAACTGAGTGGGCGAGCTAGACAAAAGGTAAAGAAAAAAGTCTAAAAGGGACGAAGGAATAAAAAGAGAAAATGACAAAGAGAAATTTTAGGGCAGCAAATAATAAGTAAACAGAGGCTGTTATTAAATAAAAAGGAACAGTTGAGTAAAGGGAGTCACATGGTACTGAATAAGAGGAGGCGGGAGGGGAGGTTAGGAATGTGGAGGGGGGGGGTGGAACACGGAGAGAAAGAAGGAAGTAGGCTGCAATGGACGAAGAATTCGGCAGAAGAAAACCCGGATGTCAATAAATAACTGCAGGACACACAGACAGACTTTGGGAAGGGGAGGAAAGGGAAAGGAAACAAGAGAGGGGGATAAGAAGGGGAGGATACGTAGAGGCGAAACAGAATATCAGGCGGAAGAAGAGTGGGGAATTTTCAAGAGAAAAAAAAACGACTAAGGAGAGAGATAATTAGAGTGAAAGTGGCAGGTATGGAAAAAGACGGGGGAGGAGGAGGAAGAGAAGGAGATAATTAAAGAGAGAAAGGTAGAAAGATATGAAGGGGTGGTGGGAGAAAAGTAAAACAAGGTGGTGGCAGGGTTAGAGAAATTTGGGAAAGCGAAAAGAAACAAGAGTAAAAGTCGAAAGTTAGAGACATTTAAAAATATAAAATATTATACAGAAAGAAGACAAAAAAAAGAGAGAAAGCTGAAAGAAAAGAAAGAGCAAAGCAGACAGAAGGAGTGGAGAAAAAACGAGAAAAGGAAGTGGGGAGAGATATCAGATAAATAGAAAAGAAGGTTGAAATGCTAAAAAACACAAAGGGGGGGGAAGATGATAAAAAAAAAGAATGAATGTTTATATATATATATATATATATTTAATCAAAGAAAGAAAGAAAGAAAAACGAAAAAGAAAAGAAAGAAACCAATAGGCAGGATAACAAAAAAGAAAGAAAAGAAAGAAACAGAAAAAGAGGGAAAGAAAGACAAAGCAACGAAAAAGAAGAGACTAGAGGTCATGAAAAGGGCAGAACGTGAGAGTAACTAGTGCTTTAAGAGAGAGTGGGGAAGAAGAAACAAGGAGGAGAATTCGGATTTTGGAATGGGGGGCAAAAGAGAAAGTTAGGGAGGGTGAAGAAAAATCAACGAAGGGGTTAAACAAGAGAGAGAGAGTAAAAAAAAAAAAAAACAACAAAAAAAAGATGGAAGCAATGTGTGGGTAGATGAGAGGCCGAAACGGAAGAGTAGAGGGTGAGGAGTAAAAGTCAGTGAAAAGGTGTGAGTTGGAGAAGAAAGATCGGCAGAGAGGAAAGAAGGGGAGGAAGGGCTGACAACTAAAGCAATAAGGGAGGGGGGTCAACTGAGCGGGAAACGTAAATACGAAAAAAGTCCTGAAGAAAGAAAAAAAATGAACGAACGTCGAACAGACGAATCGAGACGGTTTGGGCGCGCATGTACGTACGTGTGTAAATTCAAATGTGTAGATGTGTATGCATATGTGTGTATCTAAGACTTACGTGTATGTCGCTGAGACAGAATGGAATTGTGTGTATGTGTTAAAATTTAATGCGTGTGTTTTTGAAGGTTGTCTTTTTGCGTGCCTAAATCTATGATGTTATCCAAGTATGTGTGAGAATTCAGGTGCGTTTTCGATTTGTCGACTGCACTTTCTCCACTATTACAAAAATACCTCAACCAACACAATATTTAGTTAGAGTGAAATATAATTTAAGAGTGTATGTTCTAAAATTTAAGTGTGTAGATGATTTTATTCTTTAAGTACGTTAAGTTCAAATATTATAAATCCCACAATTATAGCCTTGTGTCAGACTAGTTAAAAATTAATTTAAAAAGTAAAGAAATAGGACTGAAACTAAAAGCTATTCTTAATCATTTTTGTCTTTTTAATTTTTCTAT